TAACGAAGTACAAATACATTGTTACTGTACTTAAGTAAACTTCTTAGGTATCTGTACTTTACTACATTACTTTTTTTTCTTCCTACTTCTGATTTCTACTAATTACATTTTCACACAAGTATCTGTACTTTCTATTACTTAAATTTTTAAAACAAACGTTACTTGTTACTCTTGGCTTCAGTTTAATGTTTAGAAATATTTATTTCACATCATGTGCGCCATTCAATGCAGATCATTGACGCCATCCACATCTAGTGAAAACTAGTGTAATTGGATTAACCATATAACGCAAACACTCATTGGTTAGCTAAAGGAAATCATCAGAAGCAAGCAGATGTTCTTCAAACTGCAAACGTCAATTGTCTATGCCATGCTACAATGTGGGATTCAGAAAAAGATGTTTAAATGTCTGAAAGGTCGGACACAGGCGAGAAGATATTGGGAGATGGAGACCAACAAGAGACCAACTTGGCCATATCCTAAAGAATTTTTCGAAATAATCAAAAAATTAAGCTTTCAATTCATATAGTGGCATCTGGCTGTTTTTTTTTTTAAAGGTTACTTTATACTTTTATACTTTAAGTAGTTTTTGGAGCACATACTTTTTCACTTTTACTTATGTAAAGAGGTCAAGCTGATACTTATTATTACTTGTTATTTCTACTTTACTGGAGTAATTATTTTTCATTGGAATTTCTTCTTTTACTCCTTAATTTTTGATGCAATTATCTGTAATTTCTACTCCTTACAATGTTTAAAAGTAACCTCATTAGTCCTTTTAATAAAGCAACAATTTGTCATCTTTGCGGGGAAAAAACACATACGTACAAACTGTGTTATCTAGATGAAAAGATTTTTGGGTTGTGTTTGGAACGGAACAGAAAACGTTTAACATCCGAACAATCGTCTGACCAGGACCTTTGACGGATCACATTTAGGTCAAACTTCACCGTGGACATAGCAGAGGAGTAGAGTGAAAAGATCCTAAAGAATTCAAGCTAAATGTCCCAGCTGAGCAGGGACATTCAGTGATTAGTCATCACAGCTTAGGCTTCATGAACACATTATTGCTTACTGGTGCGCATAGGATTTCTTTGATTTTTTTTTTTTTTTACCATTATACAGAAATATTATACAATAATTTTCAGGGGAAATACATCCTGCTGAAATGGGTAACCTACTGTATTTAAAATTATTCAACATTAACATGTTTTTTTACAATATACGAGCTATTGTACTTCATGACATTTTTTTTATCTTAAATTATTATTACATTTACTATAATATTTTAAGTAGTTTTGAAACAAGTAATTTTATACTTTACTTGAGTAAAAGCTGGAGCTTATACTTGAACTTTTTCTAAAATCTTTTTTAATCCTGGCATCTTTACTTCAACTTTAGTAATGATGGCAATTGCTTTTGACACCTGTTATTCTTTCTTGTTTGTTTTTTTTTATTGAATTTCATACTGAAAAGGTAATTCTAAAGATTTTTAAGTTTGTTAGACATTCTTTTTTTCCACAGTCCACCATAGTATGGTTAAAGTTGTTCTTTTTCCTTTGCACTTAATGGCAGATAAACCAAAGGCCACATTGACTGCAGGGGAAACAATTATACCACTAGGGGGCAGTATAAGTCTAGCCTGCAGTGTGGATAGATCTGCTGACTGGAAGTTTGACTGGTTCAGAAATGGGCAACAATATTCAATAGACCAGACCAATGGAAACAATGAGCCATACAGAGTCATCAGTATCTAAGACGGAGGTCTATACAGCTGCAGAGGAGGAAAAGGAGATCCATTTTTTACATCAGAAACAAGGAATGAAATCTCTATTCAGAAAACTAGTGAGTTTTGCACTTCATTCTGGACTAAAACCACAAAGTTTTTCTAATCTTCGATTGAACCCCATTGATCTTACGATCAATATTTAATTTAAGATCAATCCTTTCATTGTTTTATTATGGTATTTAGATGTCAGAATGTGGAAATACTAATTACCTTAATAATTGATGCATTACTGAAACAAAAAGAAAATATACTTGGAACACTTTTGTTTTTATTTGAATTACATTAAACTTGAAGGTCTGTTTAAAGGGTCCAGCCACATATGATGCCTATGAAAGAAAAGAAAACCCATATAGTTGTGTTAAGCTAAAGCAAAATATGCAAGACATCAGTGCTTATAGTCTTTATGTAGTTCTTTATGTAGTTATTTTTAAACCAGGCACTATCAGCGGACATAAACATTGTTTTACGCTGCTGCCATCTGCTGGCAGTATTCACTCATGCATCATCAAAGCAGTTTTGGCTGCCACTTAAAGGAATAGTACACCCAAAACATGATTAGCCTTCATTTTCTACTCACCCCCATGCTGAACAACACTCTGGAGTACTTTTTTGAAATCTCAAATGCATCTGGAGATCTGGGAGGCTTCTCTCTGTCTGCTGACATTCAAATAATGGAGGTGCCCAGCGCCCGAGGCAGAAAGGTCCATAAAAGTCCACAAAAAACGTTTCAATATTCCTCCATACTGCTCGTCCAATGTATTCCAAGTGTCCTGAGTGGGTAGCATCCAGAATTTACTCGAAACGAAGTCATTTAGAATGTTTTTAGAGCATAAACAGTAGTGTATAGGATTTCCTGAAAGCGCGCACGTGCGCGATCCCGCTGTCCAGGCTACTGTCAGCAGGTTGGGTTCGGTCGCTCCCTGATCCCGTCCACCGGGGTTCCCAGACCAGCCCCGGAGCTGACGGCTCGGTTTGAATGCCCAAGCAGTTTCAACTACTTGCTGTGTTGCAGTCGACCAAAATCCTGCAAGATTTTGAAATTCCCCCCGGACATTATTTTAGCTATGAAATGTAGGATATGTCCAGGGAGAGGAGGACGTCTGGTCACCCTGCCATATCAACAATTTGATGTTTCAGTGAGTGAGTGCTTGTTGCTATGATGCGTCTTTGTCTCAGACCAGCCCACTGGTCTGAGACAGTCACTCTGAGATGTGAGATCCATGGAGGTGGAGGAGCTCAGTGGACATATGAATAGATTCCAACCAACAGGAACTTTGCAACATCCAGTGAATACAGCATCACTGCAGATGACAGTAGAAATTATCGATGCAGAGGAAGCACAGATGGCTATATTACAACAGAGTGGGGTTTTCTCCAATTAACTGTAAGTAAGTTTCTGAGGTTTTCATAAATTATCTTTACACAATCATAATTATTTTTTGACTTTGAAGTAAATAAATGATAAATCTTTGATGAAATATTTCTTTATAAAATTAAATATGTGCATGAAACTAAATATCAAAATCTTTGAATCAACTTTTACATCAGATCACAATCACCCACAATAAAACATGAAGAAAAAATTAGACAGTGCCACAGTTCTACACTAATTGCAAAAAAATTTAATTAATTAATCTCAGAGCTCTTTCTTGGTAATGTAGAAAAGAAAATATTGATTAATATTACAACTTTAAGTACTGATATCATAGCTAAATAATATGTTGTTTTTAACAAGCTACACAATGTGAGTAGTTGTCCAGCATTCATGAAAATATTATGTGCTTAATTATCACTGTATATTTTGAAATCTATCTCCAACAGCATAATTTGCCTCTAAAACACAATATGTTCTCATGGGTAACATATTAATGCAATACTATAATGATTTTTCTGAATATATTTTGATACATTATTCATGTGTTGTGATGGTCCATAAACCTTTTATTCCCTTCAAATGTATGCTTTTGATTGAACGCATAAACCTACTAATTCAAAAAAATTGCTTGTATGAAATACTTTTTGAAATTGGATGAATGTTCCTAATTCCAGATGACACATGGATTATATAGTATCTCTCAGTAAAGATCAACAAATATTAAAAGATGAACAGAGACTAACAAAACTGACTATGACAATGTTTTACTAATGTGCATTTCAAAACTCTTTTGGTATGAAATTATATATATATTAAATGGTGTCCACAAGTATCCATTTTAACTGCCAATGCTTTCACCTATGACTTGAAAGTGAATGAACTGCAGGAGCGTGTAGCTTTGCAGACTGGTTTTGAAATCAAACGGAATAAGATGACTTGGAATTTTTGTTTTGTCAGCAAATCAACAGTATCTTAAATAATTAGCACATATTTAGCAGATAAGCCAACTTTGAAGATTAATTTACCAACTTACCCTCCTAATGACAAGGTGAAGGTGGTTTAATGGGTTGCAGAGGTGACTCGCACTTTTTCTCAAGTATGCTATGAATCAATCAATCAAACTATTTATATTGAGTTTTACACACATAATTTGAACAAAGTAACCTACAGGGCAATAACAAAAAAAGCTAATAAATAGAACACATATAACAGGCAATACAATACAGCATCTAGATTTAATAGAATAACACTATATGTAGTTAAAACAATATAAAACCTAATGAATAAATCTATTTCTAACAGCGGCCTGATAGATGGATTAGGAAGCAACTTTCATAAAATTGGTCTTTAAAAGGGACTCAAAATCATTTGCAATGCAGACTATCTGCCCTAAGTGTTGGTTTTTTGTTGCTATGTTTTTATAATGTATTTAACAAAAGCTGGAGAAAGATGTATTAAAAAGTGACAACAGTCTGACAGATAGTGCTCATTTATTCACCAAGCGTTATTGTTTAATGATAAACCACATTTAAAATTACCTGAAATAGTTTAATCAAAGTCTAAGTTCAGTGAAAACTGCCTGTCTGGATATATTAGACAATAAAGAAAAAACGAAAAAAATCCTGGGATTAAGAAACAATACTAAAAACTTTAAAAGCTATATGCTCTGTTATAGTTTTGAAAACTGTGAGTTTTGCATGAAATCATACAATTATTTAGAAACAGAATTTGACAAATAGAACTTGGTCTTACAAAGCAGTTCCAATTAGATATTTTACTTTGGACATCTCTTTCTAACATATAAACCTCAGCCTGTCGTCTCTGTGTCTCCATCAGCTAAACCTCAGCCTGTCCTCTCTGTGTCTCCATCATGGCTGAGTCCTGGAGCCTCAGTGACTCTGAGCTGTGGGGGGTTGGAGCATCCATCTGCAGGATGGAGGTTCTTCTGGTATAAAGTGGTTCCAATGAAATCCAGCAGCTCCTACAGCTTAGAGCTGCTGACTGGCAGAACCAACTGGACTGAACAGAACTCCTACCTCATTAATGGACAGAATCACACAGCAGGATATGTGTGCAGAGCAGGAAGAGGAGAACCAGTGTTTTACACTGAATACAGTGAACCAAAGTTTGTCTGGTCTGCAGGTCAGTTTATCTTTGTTCTTTCAGGGGATTTTTTAGCTTCATTGTGAATTGTTTTTTCAACATCTTGTGTTGTACTTATAATACTTCCAATTTGATTACAAACAAAACTTTTCTATAGAAAGCAACTCGATTTCAAAATAAATTTTGGAAAACTTTTATTTTTTTTTAATCTGAGACTTTCTTATTTATCATTCATGGTGGTTAACACATAACTTCCCCTGGTCTACTCAATGCTGGTTAGAGCTATGGAAAAAAAAATGAAAGCAGGTCTTAGAGGTTGGGTATATTTATGTTCATGCATTTAGCAGATATCTGCACTATTCTCTCCTGAAAACTTGGCAGCACGTCTTATTTTATCTTGCAAAAAGACAAGGCTAATGAGAAAAATCCCAAATCCATCCCTATAGGTTTGGTGATGTAATATTTGCAAAGCAGCGTATTATCACTTTTGCTTATTGGTTCAGGTCCTGATTGGCAAAACTTGATACATGTGCATGACTTTGCCTATTCTAGATTAGATTCAGAAGAACACCAGAGTCACTTTTAAACAGGGTTTTAAAAATCTTAGATTAGATTTGAATTTACTGTAGTTGATTTTAATAAAATATTTTCTATAGTAGTTTTTGTTAACTCTTCTATATTTTCTAAATGTAAATCATTAATGTTTTATATTTCTTTAAAAATATATAATTTTATTTAAGATCACTTTTATTTATTTTCTGTCTTTCAAAAACTTAATTCTAACCTAATTCTAAACACATTTGCTAAAAATGATGGTCTATAAATATTAATTTTTTTTCATGTTATGGTTTTTCAGACTCTCATCCAGCTGCTTCTCTCTCAGTGACTCCAGACAGAGTTCAACATTTTATCTATCAGTCTGTTACTCTGAGCTGTAGTGGGAACAACACTGAGTGGAGACTGAGGAGGTTTACAGAAACAGGTGGACTATCAGACATTCACTGCTCCAACTGGGGGACAATGACTGGATCCTCATGTTCTATAAACACAGACTGGTCTCACAGTGGAGTGTACTGGTGTGAGTCTGGATCAGGAGATTTTAGCAACGCAGTCAACATCACTGTACAGGGTAGGTTATGATTTATGATATTTAAGTCCACCTTTTCCTGTGTTTAAATTCTTAGTAAACCTATAAGTTAAAATTAAAATATTAAATATATTTAATATATATTCATATAGATAAATTAAAGTATTTTCTTCAAAATAGAGCAGCTTAGCCTACTTTGACTATTATTTTACTCCAATCAGTACTTAGGACAAAAAAAAAAAATGAATAAATAAAAATATGATGCTTGGTAAATATAGAACTTTAAATACAGTTTGTAATTTAGGGAGAGTAAAATAAGAATGTTTCAAATAAAAAAGCCATTTTAACAATTCCAAAAAACGTCATATTCATGTCCAATCTCAAAATGCCATAGAGATTCCTGTTAGTTCCTTTTCTGTTTTTTGTTGTCAGATTTTAGAAAATGATGAAAGGTCTATCTGCAGATAAAAATGTATATTTTAAGTAACTCGAGAAAAAATACAACACATGTCATGGACAAGTCATCATTACTTTAATCTGACCTCAGCATGACGTAAAAAAGAGGAGTAAAACTTCTGCCTGTTCTGGACTAACAGGCAGACACAGGCTAGAAGCAGCGAGATGAACCTGAAGGCTTTAATGAATATACTGAAACTAACAGCATTAAGAGGAAAATGGGGCATGCTGTCATAAGACAAAAAACCCAGTCATAGACAAAGTCAACCTAAAGAACTTAATAACAGCAACACTAAGAAATCCACAAGTCCAGTTCAGTTTATTTAAATAACACACATTCATAATACCTCATCTCTAGCTTTGACAGCCAGACTGAATTAGACTCTGTGTAATTCATTCCGATAAACCGCTGTTGACTTCGGCCAAATCTGTCTTGACAATCACAGCACCGGAGGATTGACTCCCAGTGCCAGACTTACCCATAATGCAGCTGTGCTTTTCTGAAAGCATAACAACAAACTGCCGACCACAACCAAGCAATAAAGTAAAAGAAAGCAAATCTTGTATCCTTAGATTCCTTATGCAGACTTGCCTGAAATCATTAAATGTAAACGGTGTGGGAGAAAAGAACATTGTGCAAAAAAACGCATTGAAATTGCATATCAATGCATTTTTTTTTTTTGCACCATGTTTTTTTTTCTCCCAGACTGTTTACATTTAATCAAAACTGCATTGTATCAAATGAAAATGTCACGAAAGCTGTAAAAAACAAAATGTTGTTTTGTATACACTCTGTGTATAACAAAATGACAATAAAAGTTGTCTAAGTCTAATGGAGACAACAAAATTACGAAAACAGACAGCGTTGTTTAAGGATTTTGCATCACATCCCCAGTTATCTCATTGGTTCTAACCTAAAGAGGCTGACCCTATTATTCCCACCTTTAAAATCAAGCTCTGCAGCTCTTTACCAGACGATGTTTACAGCCTGTGTATATATATCAGTATCGTATCAGTCTGGCTGGCCAGGCTACCTTATGTTAGGGTACTTTAAAAAGACAATACAATAAAGCTTTACAGTCAGATTGGGTAAAAGTTTTCCTTCCAAGAAAACCTAGCTGGTTCTATTGCAGTATTAGATTCTCCTGGATGAGCACGTAGCAACAGTGGACATTCGCTTGCATTTTGTTGTTGCTAATACAGCAATCCCTAAAGATAAATAATAACCAGAAGGGAAAAAGCTGTAAGATGTTTGATATTTTATATCCTTGGTAACATGAAGGCTAATTTGAAACATGGATTACATTTTTGTCTCAGAGAAGAGACATTAATATAAGAGAAAAAGGATTCAGGTTGCACACACTATCTGGTAAAAAAAACATGAAAAACTGACTAAATAGATTAGGTTATACCCTAAACATGGGAAATTGTAGCAAAAAGATTTCTACATTCTTGCTTTGAAACGACAAAATGAAAAGAAAAAAAAAATCCAGAGATCAGTCACTACCATAATAAAATGTGTTTATATAAGGCTGTTTTTGTCATTATTAACATTTCCAAATAACTACTATCTATTTTGTTGTATTTTCAGTAGCAATAGTAGTAAAGTAGTAGTAAAAGCCAGTCCATCCATTAATCATTGGTAAATGGATGGACAATTAACCAAAGATTCATGTTTAATGGTCACTGATGATAAAAGGCAACTTGTGTTATATCCTCATGAACCAGGTTTTTCTAAAGGTCAGCACCAACTGATTACTGACCAAAACCTGATTCTGACTGTTTTACAGATAAACATTATAGTATTATCCTGGTGAGCCCTGCCCATCCTGTGACTGAGGGAGATCCTGTTACTCTGAGCTGCAGAGATAACAAACAAAAACTTCTCTCCAATGTGTTTTTCTATCACAATAACAAACTGATCCACAATGACGGCAGAGAGGAGCTGAAGATCTCTGCAGTGTCAAAGTCAGATGAAGGTTTCTACAAGTGTGAACATTCAGGAAAGAAGTCACTACAGAGCTGGATGGCTGTAAGAGGTGAGAGGATGAAAACACTGGATGCATTTTATCTATCCACTCATTTTTTAAATCAGTAGTGCAAAAAATTGCCATCTAATGTAGGCTGTTGTCCCTGAAGATGCTAAGGCCTCAGAACATTGTTTCCAGCTGTTTATGGCTGAAGAGATCATTCTATAAATAACACTTCTTCTTATAGTAAAGAAAACAAATGAAAATACTTAAACTTTAACTTTAGTTTAGCAGAGGAATGGTATAAACATGCAGTTTTTTGAGTCCACCACGTCTCTCTCTATCTGATAAATGTCATCATTACTTAAGACTTAGTCCTACTTTAAGTGGCCTGCAGCCCTACTGCCACTTGACTGTGGACATGTGCTCCCGTACCATGACCTAGTGACCTCTCCAATTAGGATGATTACTCTTCTAATGACAAAAAGAGATATCTGCTTCAGCTACTGCTGATAAAGATTAAACATAACAATAAAAGTTATACCTTATAGTGTTATACTATGAGAAGCAAAAACTATTTTGAATCTGTAAAAAAGTACACAAATAACTTATATTTAACAGCCAGTGTATTTTAGGATTTAACAAGCCTTCTTGTGATTGATACAGTTTAATCCTAACAGTCATAAAGGTTCTTATTTTTTTCTCATTTTTTGTAAAAAGCTGTTTTTTAATTTGTTTATATATAGTACATTAAATCATGTAAAGAAACAATAAGACAAACAAACTATATTTTTAATGAGTTCGACATAAGGAACGCAAAAACCTTAATCAGCCAGAAAAAGACATAAAACAGAGCTTCAGAGGAGTATTCAATCGAAAACCATTGTTTGTTCAACAACATGCCTTTTTGAAATTGAGTCAAAAGCACAAAAATGCTGTTTCAGCATAGTTCGGTGTGCTTTATTTTAATTTACAAAATTAATTTACAAAATTCCTTCAAATATGCATGACCTGGCTTTATAAAGCTTCAAAGCTATGCAAAAATACACAAAAACTGATAACTAGATTAATACCAAATTAATCAACGTCTTATTACTAGTTGCTGGTTCCAGTGCTGTCAGCTCTTCCTTGTTGCCACTGCTGATCGCTGGACCCCTTGGTGGAATCCTTCTTATTGTCCTCCTGCTACTGTTGTGGCGCTACAGATGGTTCAAAGGTGAGATCTATTTCTTCTCAGACTGGATCAGATAAATACATAAAAAATAACTATTGCATCAAACACATAACTGCAATTTGGAATTTCAGCAAAAACTAGTTACATTATCTTTTGAACAAAATCTTGATATGATCTTTACTCTCTTTTATAGATTCATGGTGCATCAGGTTGGTTCTTGACATGTTTGCATTTAATCCCAAAACATGCATGAGCAAGAGGTTATTAAATCACACTTACTGTTTTCAATGTGTTTCAGCTCTAACCTCCCAGCGTGCAGCAATCAGAGATCCAACAGTAATAATGATGTCAACCAAACTGCAAGTCATGAATACCAGTCTCTTTCTCATGGTCAGAGCTTGGTATTATTATTTAGATGTGATGTGTGATATGTTTTTTTTTTTTTCTTTCAAAAGGAGAAAGACATTCTGACACTTAATAACAGAGAAAAACAGAAAACAAAAATTCTGACATTATTATCCTATATGGTTATTTTGCCTGTTTATTTAACATACATTCAGGAATATCATGTAAAGTTCACAGAAGTTTAGTTAGCTAAAGAGAGGCCATCCTGCTATTTTATTCAAAATAGTCATACTTTAATTTGTCATAATTTCATTTCATTTTTTTAGTTGTTAAAAAAAAACAAAAAAAAACTGTACACCACATCTTGACTTTCTGTACAACTTCAGCCCAATAACAGTTTTCACCACTAGAGGGAGATAACTTGAAGTGAGCACATTCACCTACAGTAGGGGGAAATGGGCATTCAGAAAAGGTTTTTTCTTTCAGAACAGCATATAAAGGGTGTTTTCGATTTCAGAGGCTGCATCCTCCAAGGACCCAGTCCAAGTAGACCGGGTCCTTGGAGGTCTGAAAATAAGGAGGCCAGAAGAGTTTTGGCTATGGATTCAAGCTGGTCCAGCCTTCTCTGGCTTACACTGCAAGTACTCTCTGTCGCCTAGCAACCGTAACAGTTGACACACAAAGCAGGCAAAGAATGGATATGGAACTTCTCAATACTGTTCTGGGTGCTAATTTCATCTTTGAGGAGCTTCAGCAGCAGTACAGTTGTCGCAAATATCATATTTATAGTCCCTACATTGAAGATATATTGGAATCTGACCTTAAATGTCAGCCAAACCCATTTGCACAGGGATAGATTTAACCTTTCAATAAACCGAATATTAAGTGCCACATATCTGGCTAAATAACCATTTAAGACTATTTTCATTAATTTCAGATGGAACTATTCACATACTTGTATTATACTAAACTGCACTTCCAATATTCACCACTGTTCAGCGCCATTTACCTTTTCCTCTAAGCACGGAGTAGCCGGCTTTCTGGGCTTGTAATGAATCCTGGGATATCCAAGGCTACATAGGCTACTTCCAATCTGAACAGGCCCCTGCGCCACCTTATGACGTAATCGGCTGATGAATCTGGCCCTTGGAAGACGCAACCCTGAATTTGAATTTAGCAATTGAGAAACAGCCCCACTCCATTAGTCTGAATGCCACAAAGAAGAAAACAAGCTGGTGTAATGATGTATTGCAACTGTGGTCATTTTACAGGTAAAATTGTTAAAACAATAATCAATAAATCTATAGCATGCAAGTAGTAAAAGTGAGACTGGATGACTATTTATTTTCATGTGTATACTGACTGTGGACACTATTAAGAGTGCTTTCATACTTTCATATTGGCTGAAGGCTAATGGGACATGGGCGATAAGAGGTTATGTTGTGCTATTTAATATATAGCCGGATGTAATATTGTGGAGCAGTAGATCAATTGTGTTGTACCGTTATAGTTTACATATTAATACTTGTGGCCAGAGTTATTCAATAAAAAGAACCTACATCTTTCAGTTGGTCTGAATGCAATGAAGAAGATAACAAGCTGGTGTACTAATGTACATCAACTGTAATTATTTTTTAGACAATAAACTACACAAAATACACCTGGAGTCCGGTCAGTTCTTCAAGGGTGTAACTCCATTAGAACCTGTTACGTTTTTGTCTCTTCTTTAGGTGATAGTCATCTCTACGAGTCAGTAAAATCACCCGGAACAGCAGGAAATGGTAATTTTTTTTTAAACCATATTACATAATGAGTCTGATCATCAGAAACTTTTATGTTACCATTATTCTATTTGCAGATGGATCTGGAGATGTTATGTACTCTGTAATTGAACTGAAAAACTTCAGACCAAACAGTGAGTTCCAAATAGATGCTTAGCATTATAAGATACCAATGAAAAATTCTAAATGACAGGTCTTGTTGATTTTTGGTGATTTTAACAGGGAGGCATCATGGAACAAATGACTGTGCTGTTTACTCCGAGGTGACTGAAGCAGCAGGTACAATCAGCTACAATACTTAGTTTTTGTGAGGCAAAGCAAAGCAAGTTTATTTTATTTGCAAGACAATTCAAAGTTATACATGAAAAAAGAAAAGTACATTACAGGGTTATATCAACAATACAAATAGTTCATAAGAATAACAGTGATATATCATGCTAAGAGGATTATATATTAAAAAAAAATAAAATAAAATGACTAATAGAATGTAATGAAGATCAGACTTGAAACTTAACGAATAACGTTTTGACAGAATCGTGAAAGGCCACTCTAAACGAATGTGATTTTTTATTAGCCTAGTAAACTACACTAAATGTGAGATTAAATGTGTAATTTAGTCTGGCCCAAATGAATGAGACATTGGAAGACTGTTGATGAGAACAACCTGTTGTCTTTCAAACCGCTGTCTGTACCTATTGGCCAACATCCTGACCAATGAACGCAACTGACTGTGATGTAGGAAATACGACAGGAAGCTGGTGGGGGAGTGTAAACAAACAGCTTGTCGGCAAAGGGCGGATTATACTTCTGCAACCCCACACACATTTTCCAGCAGTGATGTCACGGTGCAGTAAGCCTGAAAAAGGTGAAAAAAATTAGTTATTTCACCTGTCTGATTCATGATCTAACACGGACGGGTTCGTCCTTAGATTGCCAACTTAAAGAGGGAGGATTTGCCTTCAAACTTCTTGCCAGAGAAAAAAACAAACAAAAAACAACAATTCGAAGAAGAATTTTTTCATGATGACTTGGATAATAGCGCGTTGTTACGAACACCAGATACAGAATTTGACGTCACAAACCGGTAGGTGGTAGTAGTGTTCTTTGACAAACATGGATGTCTCAATTGAAGCACTTTCAAATTAATGATTTATTGACCACTCTGTAATAATTTCATATTTAAAGTACTTTCAGAATTTTGATTTCTGAATATGACTGGACTTTTCCTTTAAGGAAGAGAGCAGGATGAACCCTTACTTGGTGTTGGATTTCTTCTCAGTTTTTCTAGTTTATTTGGTGAAATTGGGAAATTTGATCACAATAACTTCTAGATGCAAATCCCTTTTTTGTCCCACAATGGGGAAATTCACTGTCTACATTTGACCCATCCTCTTGGGAAGCAGTGGGCTGCCATAGTGCGGTGCCCAGGGAGCATTGCAGGGATAAGGGTTTTGCTCAGGAACCCAGAGTGCAGGCTGGGGGATCAAACTGGGTAATTGCAACCTTCTCAGAACACAAGGGCACTGCTCTAACCACTAGGCAT